CTGAGTCAGGTAACCCAGACTCAGAAGGACAAACATGATATGTACTGACTCATAAGCAGATATTAGAAGTAAGGCAAAGGATAACCACACTACAACCCACAGCACCAGAGAAGCTAGCTAACAAGGAAGACCCTACAAGGGACACATAAATAACCCAGTGCAAGAGAAATAAATAAGATCTACCTGAGCAAACTGGGGGGGCAGGGGTAATGGATGGAAAAGAAAGAGGGATGAGAACATAAGGAAATGGGAGGTTAGAGCTGGAACAGGGACAGAGTTGGAGAGCAAGAGATACCATGATAAATGAAGATATCATGGGAATAGAAAGAGGCACGGTGCCAGGGAAGTTCTCAGGTTCCACAAGGATGACCCCACCTTGGATTACTGGCAATGGTAAAGAGGGTGCCTGGACTGGTCTACTCTGGTGACTGGACTAGTGAATACCCTAACTGTCATCATAGAGACTTCATCCAGTGACTGATGGAAGCAGATGCAGAGATCCATGGCTTGGTGCCATGCTAAGCTCCAGGAATCCAATCAATGACAGAGAGGAGGGATTCTGTGGGCAGGGGACGTTGAGATCATGATGGGAAAATGTGCAGAGATGACCAGCCACACTAGTGGAAACCCATGAACTGTGGAATGATAGCTGTGGAGTCCCCATGGGACTAGACTAGGCTCTCTGAATACAGGAGACAGTTGTATAGCTTGAACTGTTTGGGGGCCCCCAAGCAGGGTGATCAGAATCCATCCCTGGTGCATGGGCAGGCTTTTGGGAGCCCAGTGCCTGTGGTGTGACACCTTGCACAGCCTTGGTGCAGGGAGAGGGGCTTGGACCTGCCTCAGCTGAGTGTGTCAGGCTCTGCTGACTCCCCATGGGAGACCTTGACTTGGGAAATGGGGGGTGATGGTTTGGTTGGGGGGAAGGCTGAGGGGTGGGAATAAGGAAGAGGGGGGATCTGTGGTTGGTATGTAAAGTGAATAGGAAATTTCTTAATAATAAAAAAGTCTGACATATAATGATCATAGCCAAATTACATGTCAGAGGTAGTTACCAAGGTCTCATGTCTACACAGCAATAATCAGAGAATATTAACCATGAAGCACTATGGAAGAGATAAGAGTAGCAGTGGCAATGGTTATAATGACGATCGAGGGCCAGGCTGCCTCTTCCTCCCACCCCTTCAGCCACATCAGAAACCCACCCCAATATTTAAGCATGGGAAGAGCACTTACCCCTCCTGGTGTTGTGTGTGGTTAGCACAGCCCAGGAGGACACTGAGGCAGCTCTCACCAGGAATCAAGAGTGACCTCCCTGCAGAGAACAATGCCAGTCACTGTACATCATCAGAAACCATAGATTCCATGCTCACCCAGAATGGCTACAACATCTCTTTCAGAGAATAATCCTCACTCCCAGGAAGGTTTGCAATAGGAACTTGCTAAGCAGACTGTAGGAGATGTGCACTACAGAGCATTCATTCCCAACCTATACCTTACTACATGCACAAAATCTGCAGCATGCATTCAGCAGTGAGTTCAGACACCTGTGGTCCAAACTAAGGCCAGGACAGAGTATCTAAGGTAACCCTACTAGATGCCAGCATCCCAAGGGGGAACCACTGTGAACTGCATGATCTGCAGATCCTCACTGTGCTTTCTCCCCCTAAAAATGTAACAGCCAACTCCAAGGCCTCCATCTGTTTTCTGTTGTTGTTGTTACTGAGGCCACAGAGCAGACAGTAGACAGAGGGGTGTGTCAGTGAGCCTTTTCTCTCTGGGACAGCACATCTGAAATAACCCACTGAGGGAAGCAAATATTTGGTTTGAATCACAGTTTCAGAGACTTCAGGCCGGTGTCTGCTGGCTTCTCTGCTTTGGGCCTGAGGCAAGTCAAGCTTTGTGTATCTAAAGACACTATCAAGAGAATGAGGACTGAGGACATGGCCAGGTGGGTAAAGTGCTGGTCCCATATGCATGAGGACATGAGTTTATCCCTGAAGTAAAAAAGCCAACTATGATCACATGAATTTGTGATCCCAGCTCTGGGGTGGAGACAGGTGGGTCCCTGGGACTCCCTGGAGAGCCAACTTTGACAATACAATGAATTCTAGGCCTATGCAGAGACCTTATCCTAAAACCAAGATGGAAGAGGAATGACAGTTGAAGTTGACCTCTGACCTTCATGTGGATGTGCACATGGATGTACACATACACATTCACAAACACATGCAACCACATAAAGTAAACATTCAAGGAGAAGGAGAAGAGGGCTATGGAGTTAGCTTAGTGGTGGAATGCTGGATTGAATTATATGTGTGAAGTTTTGGTTCCCCAGTTCTGTGAGTGTGAGGAGACAACCCCCAGGATGGGAAGAAATGTCTGTAGCTCAGGCGTCTGTGCATGGAATTCCTATAATAACTCAAACAGTTGGATATGCAAAGCCATCCTTCACACCACCAGGAAGGTTGTATGATTCTTCAGCTGTTACATCAGTGTGTCCTCACAGCCAGGCTGGGTATGGGTCATTAGGGACCAAAGCTATGGTGATGGAGAGGATGGACACCATCCAGCTAGTCAGGATCACACTCCTGGATTGACTCAGCTTCGAGTAGTGTCTGGTCCTGGGATCCTTCACGGTACACAGTCAACACCGGGGCTCACTTCAGCAGATGCTGTGAGGATGCAACAGGGTCTTAGGCATGAAGGACAGAGCAACACTGATGGCCATCATTGTCTCTGCGAGGGGAGAGAAAGAGGAGCAGAAAGAACGACTTCTGCCTAGGGAAGAATCCTCTGTGAGACACTGCTGTGGTGCTGAAATGATCCACATGAGGTAGTTATGGAAAACAATCAGATTTGCCCAATTCATGGTTTAAGTACTGTTATTAATGATGAGACCAAAAACAAGTTTATGCCTCCAAAAAGCCTGTAGGTGCCCAAGCTCAGGGACACAACATGTGTAAAGGAAAAAAACCACAAAGACCATAATTTACAAATAAGTTAGGTGTAAGTCAGATTAATTTGAATTGTTCTTTCCTGACACAGCAAAGTTACTATTTCAATCATAATTTTGGGTTGTGGCTTCTTTATTTATTGTGATTTCCTTTATTTGGTCTATTCTGTGCACCATGGACATGTCCCTGGAAATCTCAAATACATGTGTAGGCAGATGTGACTGTGGTGGGGGAAAAGAGAGGACTGAGAAATCTGTGAGGAAACAAAGATGGAGTCAGAGCGTGAAGGACTTACATTGGTCTTTTCACTGAGAGCCTGCCTGTTGTCTTCTGACTTGTCTGTCCATACTCTCTCCCTTGGTCATAAGGACTAAGAGGGGGATGAATGGTCTTGTCTCATGTCTGGTGATGCAGAATTAATTGCCTTCAAATAAATGCAAAACTTGGAAAAACATGAAATATCTCATAATGTAAGGCACCCATGAGGAGCCAGGCGGGATGATTCTTCCTCAGGGCCTCTCGTGAGTCATTTTGTTGGATGAAGACTTGACACATGTTGGAGGTTCCATGTCCAAGTTTGCTCTCATGACTTTCTTTTTCCTCTGGTGCTATAAACTGAACCAAGGTCTAGTGCTTTCTAAGCAATCCCCCCGACCACTGAGCTAACACCCAGCCCTCTCACAGCTTATAATGGGAAATCTCTCTGGGCCTACTCAAAGAGCTGCTCAGGAAGGCAGGTGCATCAATTGGAGGAACTTCTCCACAGGCTCAAGATGTTATCTACTGGTATTCTTAGTTTTTTTGATTGAAGTTAGTTGTCTGCTAAGTTAAAAGACTTCATCGTCACAAGGTTTCTAATTGAAACATATCTTTGTATACCTAGAAAACCTAATATGGCTATAAATTTGACTATTTAGATGACTATTAATCTGGGTTTTATATTATATATTACATATTTAAATGAGCTGCATAAACATAATAACATCAAATAGAGTAAAAATACACATACAGTGTGAAAAATTGACTTTAAATTTGTATCAATAACCTAAATTCCATACCAATGTAAAATATTTGAGATTAACAGCTGTTTTTTGCCTAAAGTGGATGCAGTAATCTATCTTTTCTTTTCATCATAATAATCTACCCTTTTCCCACCATTAATATATCATATCCCCTTTTCTTCTTTGGAAAGAGATTGACTATAACCAATAAAACACTGGGTGCCAGATATTGCAGGACAGAATTCTGGGTTCAAATCAGGTTTATTAACATGTGAAATCAATAAGGTACACTCATGACACAGAACAAAGCTGAGACGTGGCCACTGATTCAGCTGCTGAGGTCCTGCCATTCTGCCCAAGTGTGATGGGAACCAAACTGTAAGCCATGCTTTTCTGACCCCTCACTATCTACTCCAACCAGCCCAACAAAGGGCAGGGCCATTGTCCCACAGTTCTTAAGGGGTCACATATCTTGAGTAAAGACAACACCTATTGGACCAAAAAAACACGCTCCATACAATTGGTCATTGGACTGAATAGCAGAATTCCCACAACTATAGCCCCCACTGATGGAGGCACTTTCTCAATCAAGGGTCCCTCCTCTCAGACGGCTATAGAGGGTGTCAAATTGACGTAAGTCTAGCCAATGGGGAAGAGAAAGAGCTGGAAATGCAGACTCTAAAATTTAGACTTGAACTAGGGGGGAGGGGAAGGGAGTGGCAAGAACCAGCAGAAGCAAGTGATTGACACACAGGAGTGTCAAAACATAGACACTTTAGTTCACTTAGAGTGGATAGGGCCCTTTCAAAGGTGCTCAGTTTCATGAAAACTTGATAGCTTAACCAAACAAAGTCACAAATCAAGGCAAGTTTAAAATGCAGAGGTGGGAACCTCAGGGAGGCAGATACATCATCAAGATGGGGGAGCTTCTCCACAGGCTCAAGATGTTCCCTGCTGGCATTCTTAGCTTTTGGATTGAAGCTGGTTGTCTGCTAAGTTCATAGACTCTATTGTCACAAGGTTTAGTTCTGACACAGAGGGAGGAAACATGGCTGTTCCAGAGAGCAGCACTTAGCCCATGAGAAGGTCATTAGCCTCTGACCTGCAGTGTTCCCATCTCTCTACAGTGCTGAAATTCAGATCAGCCAGCCAGGCTCTGCAGACACAAAGTTTTCGTTCACTTCCAAACAAGGCAGCTTCCCTTCAGAGCTCTGAGAGCCAAAGAGGGGACAGCAAGTCTCAGTTGAGAATATACCCATTGCTGCCAAACAGGACGGTTACACAGATCCAAGTGGGGTTCTGTCAGCATTGAGGCTTGTGTTTATTACTGTGTGAGTTCACTTAAGGAATTTGGGGGTATGGTCATAAAGTTGTTGTATTCTTTTTGAAGTGTCTTAGAAATCTAGGACAACTGTTATCTGCAGCCGTAACTGGTGACAAGTTCAGCTGGTGCCCTGTCTTTTTAACTCTGACTTCTCCCCTGTTCCACACTGACCATTAAACAATAGAGAAACAGGCAGAATGGTAATCCAGTGGGCTTGTGATTTAGAACATAGTTAGGGGATTTCCCATCAGGATGTGGTTCTGCTTCCTGGAGTTCTAAATGCACATTACAAGAAATCAGCCCATGTATATGTATTTTTCCAAACTCAGCACAGAGCACAATTTATTTATGCCAGCATTTCCTAAGAAGAGGGAGGAGTCCCTGGTGGGGATAAATAGGCATCAATGTGCTTGGGGACAGCAACACACCAGGCAGGCAGCCACCCGAACATCAGAACTCAGCTATCACAGGCTCTGGCAGCGGGCTTCAGCTCTGCAGGTAATGCCCAGGATTCTTTCTCTCTGAGGATAAGAAATGTGCGTTTGCAGGACTGTGTGGTAATGGTTATGACCTGAGTCTAGGTTTGGAGGTATGAGAAGTTGTTCCTGGGACACTGGGTTGAAATCAGGGGACATTTCTGGGGTGCATATGAATCTTCTCTCCAGTCTGGGTCTTCATGTGTATGAAGATGCAGGTGCTGTGGGCTATGCTCCTGGAGAGGGAACAGAGCCTGCTGCTTCTGACCCTCCACGGGGACGAAGTATTGAGACCTTGACTATGCCAGGGGCAGCTATAGGAGACAGGACAGTGACAGAGTCTTTGTGTTGGTGGTCACAATCCTGCAGTGCTTACAGCAGAGAGAACATGTCTTGGGGTCAGGGACCTCACTTCCAAACAGATCACATGGCCAAGAAGAGGGACCACACCCTTTTTTAATAAGGAAAAGAAGGTTACAAGTCAGCCACTGAACCGGGTCTCCTCCACAAACAGACTAGCCTGTTTTCTGTGGAAATAATTTTGACATAAAATATGGTTGAATGCTTTCCAAAGAAATGGTTGTAGCATGAATCTTAGAGGGTCTTATTAATAAAATCAAACCTGAGCCAGGTATTGGGGTGAACGCTGGAAGATCAGAGAGAGAGAACAGGCCACAGCCACCTTACCTCACCAGTTTCTCAGCTGATCCTGCTTCCTCAGGCTGGAAGCTTCTGTGTCCTCATCCATAATGAATCTCAGCTGAACTGCTTCTCAAAAGCCTGAAAGCTTAACCAGCAAAATGCTTCTAGTTTCTGGTCTTCATGCCTTATATTTCTTTCTGTTTTTGCCATCACTCCCTGGGATTAAAGGCTCACTTCTTGGGATTAAAGCCATGTGTGAGCATGCCTGGCTGTTTCCAATGTGGCCTTGAATGCACAGAGATCCAGAGGATTTCTACCTCTGGAATGCTAGGATTAAAGGTGTGAGTGCCACCATTTTCCAGCCTTTGTATATTGAGGCTGTTCTGTCTCTGACCCAGATGAGTTTATTAGGGTGCACAATATTTTGGGGAACACAATACCACCACAAATGGTTGCATCAGTCTGACAGTAAACAGAGGGAAAAGGCAGCCAAAGTCCCTGGCTCCTCTGCAGGCATGGGTCTGTATCACCCTGGGCACATGGGTCTCAGCTCCAACACCTCCCTTCCCTGCTCCCTCCATTCTACTCCTACACTCTCTAGTCTTCCCTCCCATCCATCATCCCCTTGGCTCCCTCATCTGATCCCCCTCCCTCATCCAGTCCTCCCTCCTCTTCACTCCATTTTCTCACTCCGGCCTCTTTTCCCATCTGGTCCTCTCTCCTCTGTTCTTCTTCCTCACCTTCCTATTCCTCTAGCATCTACGTTCTCCTCTAAACTCTTCTATAGTGTGGACAGAGGCTAAAGGAGGCTGGCAGTGTTTACCATGATCACAAACCTTCAACTGTAGTTTTTAATGATGCTTGTGCTCCAGTACAGAGGTGTATGGAGGAGATGGCCCTCTGGACATTCCCCACAAATACACACAGTGTTCCTAATAAGCCATAGAGTTTTACAAATAGTGTACCCTAGGTCACTCAACATGCTGTCCATAGAGGTCCACCTATTATTTTGCCCCACACAGACATCCTAACAGTCAAAATGATATATGGTCCAGATCTCAGAGACACAAACACCACTCAAGTTCCTTCCCATCAGGAGGCCTTTGAAGCAGAGATACAAACTTCCATGTGCTATCCTGGCAGGGCTGAGAGCACCTACCCTATTGGTCCTACTAATATTTGTGGTCAGGGGTACCAAGGCTTTGGTGCTGTACCAGTTGTCTCCAGAACTGCCCTCAGTTAACCCTTCACACTCCCAGAAACAGGCACTCGTTACAGTCCATGGATGTGGGATTACTTGGATATATCTGCTGTAGGTTGGGATGGATGCTATGCTAAATAACTGGTCTAAGGATCTTTCCCTGAGTCCCAAACAGAAATTGATGATGGGGTAGAAGACATAAATGCAAAGGAGGAGATGCCCTGCTTTCTGATGAATCCTTATGCCAATTTAGAAGAGGAGAAAAGACATTCAGAATTCACAAGGCTTGAGCCCATCCCCAAGTTCTTCCCTTCCTTACCATGTGACCCTGGAAAATCTCTTCATCCTTCTGGGTATTGTTTCTCTACTAGGAATATTGGTTGCTGCAACAGCAATTCTTCCTGGAGTAAAGGGAGCAGAGGCGGTGGTACTACCATCTGAGTGTCCAGAGAGCCTCCCATGTACAGTCACAAGGGCATCAAAGGGGCAGCAGAGCAGGCACACAGTGCAGGAACACAGTGGGAGGACAAGGAGGTAGTCAGGGAAACACATGACCCTCCTTAACTAAATGATCTTTTCTTTTCAACCAGGAGAACGGAGTAATGGCTGAGATCTCCCCTGATGTCCTCTGCCAACCAGATGACACATTGGGAAAGGACACTGCTGTCCAGGAAAACCAAAACAACAGGACACCAGTGGACAATCTAGCACTGACCTCCACCAACACTGACTTCGCCTTCAGCCTCTACAAGGAGTTGGCTTTAAATAATCCAGATAAAAATGTTGTCTTTTCTCCATTCAGCATCTCAACAGCCTTGGCCATCCTGTCACTGGGAGCAAGGAACAAAACCCTGGAAGAGATTCTGGAAGGTCTCAAGTTCAGTCTCACAGAGACCCCTGAGGCAGCCATCCACCAGGGCTTTGGGCATCTACTCCACATGCTCAGCCAGTCAGGTGACCAGGTGCAGATCAGAACAGGTAGTGCCATGTTTATTGAAAAGCACCTACAGATCCTGGCAGAGTTCAAGGAGAAGGCAAGGGCACTGTATCAGGCTGAGGCCTCTGTGGCTGACTTCCAGCAGCCTGATGAGGCAAAAAAGCTCATCAATGACTATGTGAACAAACAGACCCAGGGGAAAATCAAGGAACTGATCTCGGACTTGGATGAGAATACAATAATGGTGCTGATGAATTACATCTACTTTAAAGGTGAGAGGATGGTGGCTGTTTCAGGAGTAGGTGGAGAGGGTGGTGGCTGGGCACCTTGTGGCCATATACTGACCACTGGGAAGGAGGTACACACAGACTTACAGACATGGGTGCATAACTTACTACTAATAGGCCTTACCTCTCCTCTGTGGTGTTCTGGATAATGGTTGAAGTTCTTGGTAATTAATCAAAAGAACCTCAGAGCTCTCAGCCTATGAGGGCTCAATTTTTCCTACCTGAGTGGGGAGAAGTCAGGGCTGCTCCCTGCAAAGACAGAGTCCCTCCGTGTGCCCACATCAGCATTTCTAACCTGCTCCTTTAGAAGGTGTCCATCCCTGCAGGAGAGCCTATGTTTCTAGGAGTGTCAGGGTGGGTTAGAGACTTTTTACCTAAGGGGCTTGGCTACCCAATCTTAAGGAGAATGTAGCAAGTGCCATCGCTAGTGAAGAGCCCTTCATGCATTCCTATGCAGGACCTCTCCCCTGATCCTTTATGCATCAAGCTGGACCTGGGCATGGAAAAGCAGAGACTGGGGCAAAGCCACTAGTGAGAAGAAAGATCAGCCATGCTGTGTTCTCTGTTCAGTGTCTGGCTGCTTTGTGGAATTTTCGTTTTGTAAAACTAATAGCTTGGCAGCCTGGGAGGTCACAGTACACAACACTCACTCCTGAGCCAGGGATTCTAGAGGTAGGGAGCTAGTGATTTGGGAAACAGGGCTGGAATTGTTTGGGTAAGGGTTTTGGAGGTGATAGCCCACAAAACAATGCCTGATGAAAATCTTGATGTGGCTAGACGTGGAGTACACTGGAGGCTGTCCAGGGTACAGGAGGACAAGCTCTGAGACTGTAGACAAAGAAAATTGACCATGAACAGAAGTGGATAGGAGGACAGAGGTCGGGAGTCCAGGATGGCCACATTGCTGCTGAGCTCTGAAGGAAAGGGAAGCAGAGTGATGGCCTGAAAGATTAGACTGCAGGGCGTGGCTCTTTCTGTTGGGCCCAGTTCTCAAGCACCAAGGTGGGGTGTGTGTGTTTATGCTGCTGCATTCTGAACCCAAGAAATTGTCAAAGTACCCAGGCCACAAGGGTGTATTGCAGATGGTCTCATGCATTTGGAATATGCACAAAGTCTGGACAGGATATGTGTGATTCATGGAGGTGAACATAGCCAATATTCATAATGAGAAGAGGACTCATTACCCATGTCTTAGTCAACCAACTATGGGATCTTGATAATCCAACTCTGGGAAGTTCCAGGGCCCTGGAGCTTGACTCTAAGCCCACACTTGGCTCTGGGCTTAGCCTTCCATTACTTGGTTCACACTGAGGAGCACTATCAACAGATCACTTCCTGGAGATTCCGTCTGTTTGTGTTGCCCTGGAAACCTGTCCCACAAGCAACTGCCTTCTAGACAGGGTTCCTCCTGAGGAAGAAGGGATCCCCAAATCTCCCCAGGCTCCTGTCTTGCCACTTTCACTTTCATTTCTCTCTAAATCACCCCAATCTCAGATTCCAAATTGTTTCTCAGGTATCTCAAGTATCCAGGCTTTGGTTTTGAATTTTCCTTTCCATACCAAGTCTGCAGATCACTTCCCATTCATAGTTCTGTATCTTTCAAGTTTTTTTCCAGTCCAGACTATGCAAGCTCCAAGGGATATTACAATCTGTGTTGTTGAAGATGGATTGATTGCTCCCTAACTCAGAAGATAGGCAGAAATGGGGTGGAGTTGGAGTCTCTCCTGTGCTGTTACATTCTGATGGCCTGCTTGACATTTAGGGAAATGGAAGAGCCCCTTTGAGCCTCATTTCACATTTGAGTCTGAATTCTACTTGGACAAGAAGAGGACTGTGAAGGTGCCCATGATGCACCATACATTTCTGACCACACCCTACTTCCGGGATGAGGATCTGAATTGCTCTGTGGTGGAGCTGAAGTACACAGGCAATGCCAGTGCCCTGTTCATCCTCCC